TTTCGGATAAATTTTCCTCCATCATTCTCAGTTGTTTATCAGTGAAAATAATCAGAAGCAATGACGGACATTGGGTGACAAATTGCTCGATGATTTGGATGTTTCCATCACCCGTCTCATCGTTCAGGTTTCCAAATCCAGCAACTCTTGAAACGCGCCAAAAAATGATCACACAAGGAAAAATTGTCCCACATCACATCTTCAGACTCGGATTCTTGTCACAATTTTTCACCAATTTTTTGAGCTTCTATGCATTTCATGAATAAAACAGTTTGTTTGTCCCAGAAATGATAGCGTTTGAGCCAAAGCAGTAATGTCCAACACGCACTGTCTTTTTCATCTCACAGTTGTTTTGACCAATGCTGCATCGCCTGCTGGCGAGAGCCAGAAGGTATTGCGGGCTCGCTGGCTCAAATTTATCGGCCAAAAATTTTCAAAAGTTCTGGGTGTGGATGGATTTTCAAAAAATCCAAAAGGAACAAGCGCAGAATAGTACCTCATCGATCACAGGGCACCTAATTTTTGTGAACAATAAACGATATTTGAGAAAGGTGTGAAACAATTTGACAAATACAAATAGATCTCAGGCGTAATCAGTGAATGCCGCCGCGCGGCCCTTTGATGACTTGGTTCCGGTGTAACACCTCTCCTCATCTCTTTCCATGCAACCCTTCGTTGCTCCACCCCACGTCCTGGAATCGTAATGAAGGTATAAATAAGCACAGTGTAAAGTTTCGCACTTTTAAAGCAGCACTGATCGATCCTTAGCCCAAGTCATATTTCTGAAGAGCCGCAGCCCAGGATCGGAAGGCTGTCGCAGCAGCGCCTGACGTATAGAAGCAGTTCAGTAACATCGCTAGCACTGGATACTTACACCACCTGTCTGGGCAATACTGGCGATCTTTATTGGTCAACCACGACCGTATGGATACTGCTGTCGTAGCTCAGCCTTTTCTCGCATCTCAAATGACCAGTGGTAGCAAAATTTTTCCGTTTCTTGATTATTACCACAGGGAAATGAGACCGAAATAGTTTGTGCCATCTAGCCCGTGTATTTGTGTCAGTGATATTATTAGGATGCTTCCAGATGCAGCTGTGCCAGGTCCTTCAATCGTGGACTACATCCCTCTTGTTGAACGTATGTGTGCACCACCTCTTTGGGGAGCGTCCGAGTGGTCGTTCACCTTCCAAGCGTACCAGTCACCGGTTGTCGACAAGGCGAGTAACCAGCAAGCTTGTTTACAGTCAGCGATCACGTCTGGCCATATATCATTATCAGCTGACAACCATTCCTTCCTCACTGACCTCGACCCTTTTCGATTCTCTCCTTCAATTTTACACTAAATCTCTTTCTTCAGCCTTTGAACCTCGGTACTTGCCCTTAAAGTTCATTAACTGATCAAGCGCTCGATTTTGTCAGATCTGGATTCTGTAATTTTCGAGGATGATAATCAGTCAATTTCTTCATATTTACCTAATGAGGAAATTTTTTAATCCTTGTAATCAAATGATAGATTAAACAAAGGAGATATGAATGCGCACATTATCCCCTCTTCGCTTATCCTCATCTTTCTCACATTTTGACTTTTTCCCAGCTGAAGAATTTTGCCTCTTTTTTTGGATTTGATCATCGCTAGGTAACTTTTTTTTTAAATTTCCGTTTTTGGGTCAGAGACTCGGCAAAAATTGTTATTTTGTGACTGAAAATATAAAACCCACTCTGCACCCATTGGTAATTCGAATTATAACAGAGAAGAATCACTCTGTGACAAAAATATCAATGGCGCTTCCTCTTCAGAGGATTTTTTTTTTGAAGCAAACCGATGTCGGTTTCAAGCTCGCATATGGTAATATCAATCTACCATCGAAATAAATGAACTAATCGTAGAGTAATTGGTGATCTTAGTGACTGAGTCGAATTCTCAACTTTCTGTACGAGGGAATAAACTTACGAGATTTCTCCACCAATAACATGGGTTGCGAAACCTATACTTTTCAGTTTTGTTGCATGGAAATTTCGCCTATACAGTTGATGCTATGCTGGTGATAAAAAAGACTTCTCGTAATTCACTGGTTGATAAAATCTTGAGCGAATTTTTCGTTTTGTGTTGAAATATAACAACTCCATGATTTCTTGTACCACTATGAAATGCAACAAATTCAAGTACCAGTAGCTGCTACTCTGATCGGCACTGCGAAAAGCGATTAATGCTTCATTAGTTCGCTCATTTTTGGTCAAAGACAAAATTTTCCGTTGCTCACATAGCTCTCTTGTTGCTCACTTGATGTTTTGCGCCTGGCTTTGGCTATCGGACATATCCGCGAATCATCTGGAATGCAGAAAATGATATTAAAGCTCTCTTTATTTCTCTCAGCTTTAAAGCTAAATGGGTCTTTACTTTCCTCTCTGCTTAAATACTTAAAATATGAATTCAATTTGTTTTTCGACACTGAATTTTTTCCCTGCGAAGGAAGAGAACCTGAAATAGTCTTTGTATTTTTGTTATCCATACATATTTGAGAATATATATGTAAAAATAATTGGTTTTTTTACATTCATTTTTATCCAGAAATGTAAACAAATAAATAAGCCTTTCTTTAAATTCGATGCCCAGTTGTTTGGTTCCGGTCATCACTCCCGAGATATCCATGGATGTTAAGATACGGCAACATGAGTTAATTTGTAATAACGTCATTTCTTCCGTTTCAGCGTAAGAAGATTAAGTATGACGCGGATTTAGCAAATACAGAGCCAGAGTACTAATGATTTCCTTGATTGGTACTCCTCCTCACATGTCTGGCTCGAGGCGCCACTGTACGTTTTTCAGGGCACCACCTACCGGGAGTGAATTGTAATTGACATGAGAATTATGCTATACTCCCTCCTTCGCCCTCACTTTCCCTCCTTCTTGCTCTGTGTTGCTATTAGGCGAGAATTTGGTAATTGCACAATTACCAGTCCAAGAATATTTGTATTTTACTGCTGACCGGAAACTGCCCTTTCGATAAATCGGCTGAGAAAAATTCAGAGCAGATTGAGCGGTTGCAAATTTGCGCTGGGAAAATGAGCGGCGTGTGCAATGTGAGCAACCTGATTTCCAGTAAAAGCAATTTAGTTCAATTTTTATTCTCACCCTTCGCACAAGGCCGGAGATTACGCTCACAACATTTCATCTTTCTAGCTTTGTGGTTCTGAAATCGACTCATACAGGCATACATAAACACAAACTGTTTTCCACGCCAAAGCGACACTAGAATGATCCTTCAAACCCGTCACTAAGTCCCCCGGAAACAGACGTTGTTGGGATCTGATATTAGTTGTAGTGATCTGATATATACTGGGATACTGATTTTCCAAAAATACTTTGACTGCGAAAACTTCCCGAGCTGTTTTCTCCTCAAAATTTTTACCACGCTCACTTGAAAGCTCGTTCAGTTGAGGATTAGCATATGAAAGAGCTCCAGGCGAAGAGAGACACAGGGTTTTTAGAAATGCTAATATTTGTTTCCTTTCCCATACAAAGGCCAAATTCTAAATATAGGTGCGCTGTCCCTCCAATATCTCTCGTTTACACCCAACATTCCGCACACCATCGTTGGAATTTACATCCGCTGCCTTCCTTTCATATTCTACCGTATCTTGTTTTTCTGCCCCACCTCCCAGAATGTTTCTCACCACCATAGTCCTGCTTAATTCAACAAAAAACCCTTCGACAGTCCGTTGGATACTCATTTCGTATTCAAAAATTCCCATACATTTTCATGCATAATAGTGCGTGTTCAAATCAAAAATTTCTATCTGTTCTTATTCCCTAGTCAGTGAGTGGTAGCAGTAGTAGTGTTTTTAGTGGTAACGGCAATAACAGCAGCAGTAGCAATAATCCAGTTTTTCGAAGCGATCCTATTACATGTGTTTGAAGAAGCAAAATAGAAGGTAATAGACTCATGGTTCGCCTCATTTGTCCTTTTGATTGCACACGATTGCATGCGCAACCGTCTATTCCGCAGAACAAATTGCCAAACATTTGTATATGCTCATAACCCGTCACGGAATTATGTAACCGTATTGGTATGGTTGGGAGATAACCTTTTCCTCACTTATTCGATAAAAAGCATGGATTTACTTTACACTTGAATATTTTGATCAGTTATTGCGTTTCTTCTAGCCGCTGATGCAGCTGACAATTTCTTCATTCTTCATTTTGAACCTCTGTCGTACCTACACAGTTCCACATAGCCGTTTAAACGGATCGTTCCATAGTATTGGCAACCTTCCCTGTACTGTCTTAATATTGCACAGGTACCATTCAATATTCTAGTAGACAAGATTATGTAACGCGTCTTCCTTTGCAAAAATCGTGCGAACATGACCGCAAACTGTTGATATTTTTGCGGTGTATAGGATCTGGTTAAAGGAGCGCTCAAATCTCGAGTGATTGCTGAAAAATTCAATGCATATGTCTTACGAACACATTTTTTGATTCAGATTTTGCAGAAAATAAATGGAAATTTCCTCTGATTCCTTGGAACAACCGACCACATCCGCATGTAAAAGCGGGAAACCGAAGCGGGAAAATTATCAACGTCGATCAGTTTGGGTTTTAGCAAAGCGTATTTTCCGAAAAAGATTGCTTTTCGCAAGAAGAAGCAGACAACAGGCTGGCGAAAATCAGGATTTTGCTGAAGCAACTGGAAATTTCCAAGAGCGTGCAAAAGATTCCCGCAAAAGATCAGAAGAGACAGTGCTGAGATTGCTGGTACCGGTGATGCAACAAGTATTTCCATATCTTGATATTTATGATCGTATTCGGCTTCGTGAGGTAAATTTTTTCCAAGAAAAAGCGATTTTTTCACGCTTTTTTTGAGCTGAAAAAAAATGCAAGGTCCCATTTCTTCAGGAGTCTAGCATAGTTGCACCCGCCGCTTAAAGCGTCAGTAGTATCAAAATGGAATATACACACTAGTCACCCTAGTGGTTTTGGTATTCTTGGTGCTGCTTTTTCATTTTTTTTTTTGCTGTTTTAGTTTTAATGAACAAAAGTACTTTTAATGCTGACTGTCGAACTGCTAAAAGCACTTCATTTTTAGGGAAAAATACTCGAAATGTTGTAATCTTCAGGTATGTCGTTTGACGGAAGAAATATTTCAAAAAAGTTTGATAAGCTTGCCACCTATAAAGCTGCGCGGCGTATCACTGGATGAGGTCGAAATATGGACGGATCATTCCGATCTGATAATTCAGCTCCTCGTACCAGAATTCGATTTTACAGCCGCAACTTCCCCAGATGGTATTGTCACTGTTACTGATTGGCAAGCCGAACTGGTTGTTCATCGAATTGGTAAATTTCTTTTCCATTGCAGTTTAAAATTTTAATATACCGGAAAAAGCGAGCTCGGGCAGTCAGTGTAGACATTCCGTATTAGTGATGTTGCTGGGATGTTCCTAAACATTGGTAGCAGCAGTGCCAGACGCTCGATTCCGGGTTGCGCACCTCCAGCTAGTACCCATTGCTTGTTCGATATATGTACGTTGCCCTAAAACAAGAAAAAAATCAAGTACTAATCTGCAATTTTTGGTCTGAAAATGAATTTGGGTTTAATTTAAACATTTTTTGCTTCTTACATTTCAATTAAAAACGATTAATTTCTTTACTGGAAAGCGGGAAAAAAATTTCTAATTTCTTTTTTTCTCCCTCATTGCTCATTAGAATCCTATTAGTTAGTGCTTCCTAAGAGTTCTCTGAGTGCAAAACATCATTATAAAAAGCATTCTATTTAAGTCCAAAGTGGGGGTCGTTTTCGAAGATTTGATTAAGGCTTGCTGGGCTCTGCAGTGCTTGGAATAGAAAATAATCATTAAAAGTTGATTGGAATTTCAAAGTTAGTTGAATTTGCCCAGAAAAATTGCTTTTTTACTCGATGTTTTAAAAGGAATTTCGACAGTCACTGGTAAAAGTTGAAGAACGAGCTTAAGCTGAGAGGGAAGGTGAAGGGGCGATGGACGATCGGCGTGTTTCTTTGTAACCGATAGAAAATGAGACTTTTTGTCAGATGAACATATGCAGGATTGTATAGTAACCGTGCGAGAAAGTGAAATCTGGTGGGCAGGGTATGTTGCACGCCTTGCTGACAACCAGGGGGCGTCATGCGTTAGTGAGTGGTACTCAACAGAAATTAAAAGACCACTTGGATGTCCCACTGAAGAGATGGCGTACATCTGTCGAATAGGCGGTGGGCACAGACTGGAGGTATGCAGCCAGGATCGAAGGACTTGGCATAGCCGCGCTCGGTGTTGGAAGCATCCTAGTAACATCTGTAGCATGGATTTCCACACCGATTGCGCTGACAGTCATGGTATTCATGGATACCAGTTATGATAAAATCTTTTAATAAAAAGGTATACTGATTATTGAAGTGAAAATATGATATTTGCTATAATAAAAACTGAAAAATTTGCTTTGATATCAAAGCTAAATATGTAAAATATTTTTTTCGCACTTATTGTGTGTGTTGCTTTGTTAAAAACCCAGTTCTGCATTACGCATTCGTGTTTTGTTGCGCAATTGGGTAATCAAAAGATCATATTATTGGGGCTAACTGTTGCTAATTTATTTGCGTTGTAACTGAATATACACTGCTTTTTGTACAATTTTCGATATGAATTTGTTACCAAGTTTTTCCCTGAACTCGTAAAGTAGCTGGAATCTCTCTCCTTCAGAAAATTGGTATTTCTTAATCATTTTTAGAAAAACATGTCAAAAAATATGTCATCCAATCAAGATTCAGACAAATATTTCTGCTTATGCTGAAGGTCAAGGATTTGATCCTGACGATGGAGCAACCTTTGTGATTCGTGCATTGTTTTGATGGTAAATTGGTACTAGCTCATGCCAAAAAGCCAAACTTGCCATCAGCTTTGTTCCAAGCAGTCTTCGAAAGAGGGGGCCATCAACAGGTTTTACTGCTGGCACGTGATTGCCTCCAGTTGCCTTAATTTTTTATAGAGGACGAGAATAGAGCGGATTTTGACTTTAAATCCATTTTGCTTTTCCCAGTTTTTAATTCTCTTTTAGTACAATGCAGACTGACCTTTGTAGCCACACGTGTTGACCGAATCGAGCATCTCTGGCTGGAAACGGCAATTAACGGTGAATTGTGCAACTCACTTTTGACGGGGATGGCAAGTAGTAACTCAGAGCGACAATGCAGATGGCGGCCACTGAAAATGACAAAACTGACCATTGTCGGCGGCGATGATCACGATTGTGAAATGGTACTTTTTCAAGACAAGTATTTTCATATATACGCTGTCTGGATCGCCAATATCCGTCATGTATTTGAGGCAAGAAGTTTCTAGAGTTACTGAACTTGGGAGCAGCAATACTGGGAGTTACGGCATGAGGGTGAAGAGACCCATTAACTTTCACATTTTATAAGAAACGGAAGCAGTCGGGAAGAAACTGGCACGGGTTTGTATATGAAGGAATTTTTCAGATTGCAAAAGTGGTTGGCAAATTTTCCAGCTCACTTGACGAATTGCGCTTTCGTCACTTGTGCGTGGATTTTGGCTTATTTTGTGAGGAATTCTGGCAAGCGGTGGAACAGTGCAATCAACTTAAGCAGCTTCAATATGAAACTTGCCGTTTGGATAGTTTCTCGCATATGCATTTGCAGCAAGCACTGGATCGGAAACACCTCGTGTATGTCCATAAAATTTTATCACTAATTAACAGTGCCTTCTTCG